TGCTGCTCCCAAGTGTGCCTCTGTCCACTCTCCCGCCCTCTTTCCTGATTCTAAAAAGAGCTGAGGGGGCTATCCTCTCCTATTAAATTGTGTCCGCCCCTCCTTGATCTATAATTCACCCCTCAGCCTTGCCTCACCCCCAGCCCGGCCCACACCACCAGGCCCAAGACCCTGTCTCCTCCATGTTTAGGTAGGCTTGATCACATTCATGGCCCTGGTGGGCAGCTTTGTGCCAGCAGAGGAAGCCGAAATTGGGGCTGTAGACGCCATCTTTACCCGAATCCACAGCTGTGACTCCATCTCCCTGGGCCTCTCTACCTTCATGATCGACCTCAACCAGGTCAAAGGGAGCAAAGGGCGGTGGGGCTGCGGGAGGGTGTTAGTGTGGAAGGAACTCTATTCTCGAAAAATGATCAGAACAAGAAAACCATTCCGTCTGCTGCATGCCTTCTATATTAGGGGCAGGGAGCACTGAGTTCAGGCACTGGGAGAATCAATACCATGAACATTTACTGAACCTTTGCTTTGCATGAGGCACTGTTGGCAATGAAAGGATGAACAAAACACGAGTCTTGCCATTAATGAACTTGCAGTCCAGTAGGGTGGACACACACACAAGCAGCTTTACTCACGACAGACTGTGGTCAGTGCGTTGCAGGCCTTGAACACTACTGAAACGCTCCCTTGTCCACCTGGTGCCCAGCAGGTGGCGAAAGCAGTGAACAATGCCACCAAGCAGTCTCTGGTCCTCATTGACGAATTTGGAAAGGGAACCAACACGGTGAGGAGACAAGCTGATGAGAAACTGAGGAGGGGAAAATGGTGGGGAGGCTCAGGAGAGGAATAGGGGGTATGTAGGCAGAAAAGAAACAGAAAAGTGCAAGATGGGGATGGCTAGGGCAGGTGGAGAGGTGCACACGGGGGCACCTGTGGTTCAGTACCCTCACCCCTGCCCTGTGCGCAGGTGGACGGGCTCGCGCTTCTGGCCGCTGTCCTGCGACACTGGCTGGCACTTGGACCCACGTGCCCTCACATCTTTGTGGCCACCAACTTTCTGAGCCTTGTTCAGCTCCAGCTGCTGCCACAAGGGCCCCTTGTGCAATATTTGGTAAGGATACCAACCTAGCCCTCTGGGGCTCCCTAGGAGGAGCATTTACCAGAACTCAGAACAGGCTCCTCAGTTAGAACAGAGGCATCCTTCCTGTTTCTCACTCCCCACAGGGATTGGGTCAAGGGTTTCAGGGCAGGACGCAGAGTGATTCATGACACACTGTCCCCTTCTATCTCTTTTAAGACCATGGAGGCCTGTGAGGATGGGGACGACCTAGTCTTCTTCTATCAGGTGTGTGAAGGTATTGCCAAGGCCAGCCATGCCTCCCACACAGCTGCCCAGGCTGGGCTTCCTGACCAACTCCTTACTCGTGGCAAGGAGGTGAGATCCAAAGGTCAGACACCTCCATCAGGGCTCCCTACCGTTGTCCCTACTCCTCTCAGGGGCCTGGGTTTCTGGGTCCATGGGATTTCTGACCCTTATTTCCAGTTCTCTTACCCAACTCCCCCACCCCCACCCCACCCCGCCCGCACTTCTTGTTGCTAGGTCTCAGACTTGATCCGCAGTGGGAAACCTATCAAGCCTGTCAAGGAGCTGCTAAAGGAGCAGCAAATGGAAAAGTGAGTGTGCGTGGCCCAGTGTCCTTGTTCTTTCCAGCATTTTCTGCAGCTCTTCTCCCCCTTTCAGGGATCCTGACAGCCTCTTTGCCCTTCAAAGACCCAGGATTTGTTTCTGAAATCCCTAAATTTTCCTGGGTTCCCTGTGCCACAGCCTCCCCCCTCTGCCCCGGGGACTCAGTTTTCCATCCTGCCATTAACCCTGCTGTCCTCTCTCCCCTCAGTTGCCAGACATTAGTAGATAAATTTCTGAAACTGGATCTGGAAGATCCCAACTTGGACCTGGACCTTTTCATGAGTCAGGAAGTGCTGCCTGCTGCCACTGCCATCCTTTGAGAGCCCTTCCTTGGCCCTCCTCCACCTCTACCTGTTTCCTCCCCTTCCGCAGATGCAGAACTCTCAGCTTTCCTGGAAATTTTGTTTCATATTAGGAATAAAGTTTACTGCAGAGAAAGTTATTGTTTCTTTAGACCAGCCAATACAAAACAAAAGACTAAGAATGAGATGAAACACCAAGCAGAAGTCCACAGAGGGGCCTGCCCTGCCTCATTAAACACACAGGGACGTGGGGTGCCTGGCTGGTGCAGTCGGGAGTGCGCGACTCGTGATCTCGGGGTCGTGGGTTCGAGCTTCACGTTGGGTGTAAAGATTACTAAAAATAAATCAACTTAAACACACACACACAGTGACACTGCCGTAGGGAGACCCTTGGGTCCCACCCAGGGGGACGTCACGAGGACCAGCCCTTTCAACAGACCCTACAAAAGCAGATGAGAAGGAAGACAGAGGAACCCAACAGAGACGATCTTTCCCCTAAGTAGGAACACCCCAGCCTCAGACAGACACAGCAGAAAGGGCCCCGGGGGGCTGGAAAAGAAGGTAGGACGCGCACAGGGCAGGAGGGGGGCGGAGGGGAGGAGCCAGCCCCGGCGCCAGTGGGCGTGGCTCCGCCCTTCCCACCTCGGAGCCATGGGGAGCCAGGGGCCTGGCGGGCCGCCCCGCGGCGGGGCTCCCTACACGGTTCTGCTGCTACCACTGGGGACAAGCCGCCGGCACCCAGGGGCCCGGAGCTTCTTCCTCTGGGTGAGTATTAGTCCAGCAAGAGGTCCCAGGGAAGCCCACTCCCTGGATCTGCCCCTACATTTCCCCTCAATTTTGAGGACCCATAAGTCTTCTCCCCTGCCTCCCCTGCCCTCCAGGTGCTCAGTGGTCAGTCTGGGCTCACACTCCGTGACCAGACAGTGAACCCAGCCAAGGGTTGAGACGAAGGGCCACGGCCCAGAGCCCTGCTGTGGAGCAAGTCAGCCTCCGCTTCTTGCCTTCCCAGCTGCAGAGGATGCAGGCTCTGGAGAGGGAGCAGGACGCCCTGTGGCAGGGGCTGGAGCTGCTGGAGCGCGGCCAGGCCTGCTTTGAGGGCCGTCTGAGGGAGGCACTGCAACAACAGCAGCACCTAGGGGCTCTTGGTGAGGTACGGGGCTGCTGTGTGGTGTGCGGGAGCAGGGACATGTGGACAGCCTGACACCACCCTGGGAAGGCCAGAGTTAACGGGCAGGGATCATGAACTGGAAGCAGCATTGTAATGACTGGATGCCACCAAGCAGTTAGGTTGGTGTTCATTGTTGGGATTGGAGGGGGCCGGTCTGTATTCCATTCAGAGGACCATCGTTTGGATCACCCCATTGAGATGGGGGAGTGGCCTGGATTATTCCAATGGGTTAGGACTAGACAGGGAGGATCCATAAAGAATAAGGAAGGAAAGGGGTACTGTGCTATTTGAGGGGGATAGAAGAACTGGATTTTAAAGAGATGGTAGTGGAGAGTATCTGATTTTTCCACCTACCTTGAGGGCTACTGAGATGAGGGGACCCAGATGGAGAAGAGGTATGGCCTGTGGTAACAGAAAGAGTGGCAGATGGACCTCACCATGTTTTCACCATGTTGTCAGCCTCCAACTCCTCCTTTAGAATTTTCTAACAGATTTACACTCAGAGCCTCATGGCCCCCAGTTAGCCCAGATTCAAAAGGTGAACGTGTGTTTGCAGAATCTGATTCAGAAGGTGAGTTTGTTTTTCGTTTAGATTTTTGGGAAGTGAGGGAAGAGAGGGGACTTGGGATCAACACTGGTTTAACAGAAAAAAGCAAATCCTGCCCTCCCCCCCCCCCAGTTCTCCCCACATCCCTTAAATAAGGCTAGTTCCTGTCCTGCCCAGGACTGGAAGGGAAGGCCAAGGAAGCAGAACTTACAGCAGCAACAGGTAAACTGTAGGGGAGTGGGGGGGGAGGGCGGAAGCCCTGGGCCCATTGGGGGGGGGGAACGCAGATGCCCACACTGTTTCTCTCCTTTCTCCAGGAGTTGTCGAGGCAGCAGAAGGGAGGCATTCAGCCAAAAGGCGAGACCACTCAGCCGGGCTGCCCCAAGATGCAGAGGGGCCCAACCCATGTATAAAGCCTCCCCTGGGGTTCCTTATTTGGTGAGGGGGGAGGCTGACTCAGAAACCCCAGTCTCCTCATTCTGCCTCTTGACTTAACAGATAAATGGCTCCAGGTGGTGGGTCAACTGAAGTCCAAACATCTTGGTGTAAAGTTTCTTTTCTGCAACTGAAAACTTCCATTTCATCTTCTCGGTGTCTTATGCCTTCACTCTCCCTTATATGATATGCATAAATGATCTTTCTTTGAAATCCCTCTCTAGAGAAGACATGTTTATTGAAACTGTCCTTCAACTTTATTTTTTTTTTAAGATTTTATTTATTTATTTGAGAGAGAGAGAATGAGAGATAGAGAGCACGAAAAGGAAGAGGGTCAGAGGGAGAAGCAGACTCCCCGCCGAGCAGGGAGCCCGATGCGGGACTCGATCCTGGGACTCCAGGATCATGACCTGAGCCGAAGGCAGTCGCCTAACCAACTGAGCCACCCAGGCACCCTGTCCTTCAACTTTAAATACAAAAATAAAATAGGGGCTTCTTCAGAATTTCAAATAAGAACAATTCTATAAATAAACCCCACTCCCAACCTTAGTCTCTTCCCCATACATCTTTCCTTCAACCTGAGCTTAGGAAAGCACGAATAAATAGTGGAATAAAGAGATGCTGTGGAGAGATAGAAACCAACTTTCTCCACAAAGAGGTATTTGGTTTGGTTCCCACCAGGGTTAGAGAAAGTGCACTGTGGGAAAATCCATTGCCCTCTATCCCAATCTCACTAAGAAAGAGAGGGACAAGTGCATGAGAGAGAAAACCTCCAGCTGAGAGAGGTGGGGTCCCGAGGCCCATGTTACCTTCTCACCAAAGGAGCAGGATTGAAAATAGCTCTGGGGACCCATCCCTCCTGTGTCACCAGGAGGCCAGGCCTAGCAGAAGCAGCACCCCTCCAACTGTGCCCCACCAGGGGCTGCCCGCCCGCCCTCCCCCCGGCCCTTCCCCGAGTCACCAAAGTGGAGGCAGGGCTGGTTGAGGCGAGGATGGGGCCAGATGAGTGGGCAGGGGCGGCTAGCGGGTCCTGCAGAGAAGGGGGAGACTGTCAGGGTGTCTGTACCCAAATTAAGCCTACAGCGCCCTCCCCTTAGCTTGCGTGGTCTGCGATGGGAATGGGGGTGTCTCACCTGCGGGGCTGGGCCCAGCACCAGGAGCCGGAGGAAGGCGTGGGTCGGGGGCACTGGGCTGGCCTCGCGACCTGTCGTGGTCACAGTCACTGTCACTACGGAGTCTGGCGCGGCTGAGTCCGGGACCTCCAACCATAGGCGTCCCCAGGCGGACTCATTCGGTTCCAGGCGAACCCTGCCAAGTGGACACAGACACCCGGCTGAAGGCCCGGGCTCCAAAGAGCTGAGAGCCGAGGGTCCGAGGGTCCGAGCCAAGCGCTGGCAGGGAGGCGAGGCAAGGCGAGGCGAGGCGAGACTCTGAGCGCCCATCGGAGGGGGCCGCTGTAGGCGGGGCTTAAAGCATCAGACTCCCACGCCCGGGAACCGAAAGGTGGGCCAGAACTGAGCAGGAGGGTTCGGGGGAGAGGTTGGAGGTGAGAGGGAAGCTGGGGCTGACAGATGGCCTAAGGTCGAGATCCTGAGGGCCCGAGAAGCTGGCGATGCGGAGGCTGAGCCTGGCTTTGCTGCCCGGGGCCAGGAACCCCGGGGGCCGCTGAGCTGCGGAGAAGGAGGGCGGAGGGCGCGTCAGGGTAGGAGCTGCTGCGGCTCTCTCGGGGCCCCACCGCACCTTCCCCTGGCGTCTCACCTCCAGAAGCACCGGGACCACGGTGCAGGGCTGGGGCGGCCGCTCGGTGCGGGCCCCGCCCCTCTCCGTCCAGGCCGACCAGCTCCAGAGAGAAGGGTCCCGCGGTGGACAGAAGCGCGGGCGGGAGCGAGGCCGCGAGGACACCTCGCTCCCGCGGTCCCGTGGGCTCCAGAGGCACCCGACCCCGCTCGGCACCCTCCGGGACCCCTCGAAGGACGACGTGGGAGAAATGCGGCCGAGGATCTCCGGGGTTGCCTCTGGAGCCCAGCCCTGTCGCCTCTACCAGCAGCTGGGTCTGGAGGCCTGGGACAGGGGACGGGAGGGGAGAACGATGGTCCGCAGGAGATTCGGAGACAGGGAGGAGAAAACAAATGGCTTTTGGAATAGGGGTTACCCCTGAGGAGTATGGATGGAGAAAAGGGGCTACGTCTGAGGGATATTGTTGGGCAGCGTCAGGAAAGATTCTGGGATGCTGGAAATGTTCTAAATCTTGAAGGGAGGATGGTTACATGGGTGCATTATATGCCATCCATCCAGTGTGTACTTCAGTTTAGTGCACTTCATTATATATGTTATAACTCAATAAAAATTTAAATATATAATTATATATATAATATATAATGGGGGCACCTGGGTGGCTCAGTTAAGCATCTGCCTTCGGCTCAGGTCATGATCCCGGGGTCCTGGGATCGAGCCCCGCATCGGGCTCCTTGCTCGGTGGGGAGCCTGCTTCTCCCTCTCCCTCTGCCCCTCCCCACCACTTGTGCTCTCGCTCGTGCTCTCTCTCTCTTGAAAAACTAAATAAAATCTTAAAAAAAATAATAATGGACAAGTTGGGGCAGGGGGATAGATATACCTGCAACTGGCTGAGTCAGGGGGTAGAGGCCAGGGTGGGGGCCATCCTCCATGGGAATCCGAAAGTAGAAGAGGAAGTCCAGGGATGTCTGAGCTGAGGAGGGCCAAGGCAATCAGAGACCTTCCTGCGATGACTGTGACTGCTAGTGTTCTCCGAGCTCTGCAGCCCTCCCTTCCCTTCCCAGGAATATCTCCCTCCTTACCTTGCACTCTCACCTGGGGCGCATCTTCAGCTGTGACCCAGATCTCCCAGGTCCCTGTCTGTGGGGGGTCATTCATGGTAACTATGCAGAGCCCAAAGCGGCGCGTGTGACCTAGAGGCCCCTCGCCTTCCTCCTGGCCCTGGGAGACCCCTGATGGGAGTGGAGGACGATTCCCGTCCTTTAATACGTCACCCTTCATTCTCCTCCCTTCTTCCCCCTGCCTCGAGACACACACGGGGAAGTACCTGCAGGGTTCCTGATCTAGAAGCTGCTGACCTCCCTGTGGATCTGAACTGTGACCCTCTGGAGCAGCACATCCACACTGAACACAAGTGGCCTCCCAGACACCACAACAGGAGGTTCCAGGGGAAGGGTAACCTTGAAGGATGAGCAGAAGCGCAAAGTGGGGGAGAAGATAAGGCAGTGAATGGGGGAGGAGCAAAGGCAGGAGAAGGGTGGAGACAGAAGGAAACTAAGTCACCTGTGGAGAAGGGAGGCCAGTGAGAGGGGCAGAGGACCACGGAGGGAGTTACGGTCAACGACAAAGTGGAGGCAAGGGATTGAGGGTGAGGCCATCGCTTTTTGTCCCTCCTTCAAAGATGGCAGGACTTCCTGTGGTAGCCCTGAGGACAGACTGCTGGAGGCCAAGGCTGGGGGACAGGGGCAGTACCCACAGGGAAGGAGCAATGTGGAAGGTGGGTGGGTAGCCATGGATCTCAGAGGGAGAGAAACTTCCTTTCCCACCCTTCTGACTGCAGTGGCAACACGGCAGTGTTAAACCATTACCCTATGAGAAAGAGAAAGGCCGTGTCGTCACCCACACCCTTAGTTCTCAGCTGAAAACATTAGTCCTTCTGGGCGCCCATGCTTACGCACCAGGTCATCCATGCTGTCCCCAACAATGGCGGCCACATCCTGAATGTGCTGGTCTTTGGTGAAGATGACCTCTCCTCCTGAGGCCAGGGCCACTGCTTCACACGGCTCAAAACGCAGAGGGGACAAGACCTCACGCCGAGCTCAGCCCCGAACCCTCAATGGGTCTTCAGTCACTAGGAATGTCACCTGTGCCCAGAAGAGAGGCCAGTTCTTGAGTACTCCCAGTGCCGTCCACCACTGTGAATGGGGGTCTCCTGTGCCCAGGCGCTCTACAGAGCTAATGACCAGTGGCAAGTTCCCTGTCTGCCCTCTGACTGCCACTGCAGGGTCTCCCAGTGACACAACCCCTAGGCCTTCACTTAGTAGTTGCCACTCCCTTGTAACTGTCACCATATGTCACCCACATGGTGGATTGTTGGCAACTAGATCTCCAGTCCTTCAAGTGGTTTGTTGGCGACAGGTTCAAATACGAATTCCGCATCAAATAAGGGATCCAGAAACGTTACACTCATTGTCTGCTTCTCCCACCCCACGCCAAGGCTGGTGCAGCCACAAGAGTGTGGGGTGAGGCTCATTAGGAGGTTGTCGCCATAGGGTTCCCCGCATCCCTGGGTGGCTACATCGGGTCTCCCATCAGCTGTCCTCACTCTGCAGCGCCACTCCTGAGTCAAAGATTCCACCCGGCTGGCGAGCACGGCGTCCTTGGGGGAGGCGTCCGTGAAGACAAAGATGTCTGAGAGTGGAGGGGTGTGCAGCAGAGCCGGCTGGCAGAGAAGGGGAGCGCTGGTATTAAAAATGGCAGCGGCGGGGAAATGTAGAACCAGGGAGGACAGAACTGAAGGAAATAGGACCCTGGAACCCTGGAGGGAAGCTAGGGGGACTAAGCTCTGAGGGTGGGGTGGGAGGTGGAGGTCCCAGGAAGGCTCTAGTTCCCCTTGGTGGTGGGACCTGGAAAGGGGAGGGAGAAGAAGGGAGGGGGAGGGCAGACCTCCAGGGCTGACAGGCACATCTCAGGCTCATCTCCACCCCCAAGGCATGGATCTCATTGAGTTGTTGCCAGAAGCTGTCAGGGTCACTGGTTGTAAAGACAGGGCCAAACTCTGGGGAGGCAGAAGGGAGGTTGAGGTGAGTGAGGAGAGGGATCCCCTATCCCTACCCAGGACCACCTCCCCAGTCAAGAGGCCTGCTGTGCTCCAGGGGCAAACAAGTATGGAAGTAACAACATTCCCTTATATTTATATGCGCGGGGCAGGGCAAGGGCTAGTTACCTTGCGGGGAAGTGGACCTCATTTCCTTAGCAGAACGGCAGCATCTCCTGTGGTCCTGAGCGGGCCTTTCCTGGGTATGTGTGTAAGTATGAAAAAGACCCGGGCCTCAGTTTCCTCACCAGAAAAGTCAGAAAAATAACAATACTTACCTCGGAATGTCATTAAGACTAAATGAGCTGATTTTGTAAACCCTAGAATAGTGCTTTGACCCATAAGTGCTAAATTCTTAATTATTCAAAACTTCATCAAATGTGGGTGCCTGGCATCTGCCTTCGGCTCTGGTCATGATCCCAGGGTCCTGGGATCGAGTCCCACATCGGGCTCCCTGCTCCTTGGGAGCCTGCTTCTCCCTCTGCTTCTCTCTCTCCGTCTCTCGTGAATAAATAAATAAAATCTTTAAAAAAAAAAAACAAAACTTCATCAAATGTGTGTGAAGCCCCTATTAAATGCCAGCTACTGTGAGATTTATGCAGGTAAATCAGACTCAACTCCTGCCCATAAGGAGTTGTCAGTCCTATGGGTATTTGATAGTCATTTCAACCCTAGGAGATAGGCAGGATAAGACACGTACTGACCCATTTTATGGATGATGAAATTGAGGCAAAAAAGGCTAAATGATCAGCTTAAGGATGCACAGTGACTGGTCGACCCAGATCAGATGGTCTGACTTCGGGTTCCGTGGGGGAAGGAAATACACTACAACTAGCAGTCTCAGAGGCTTCACGGGGGCCCGTGCCCACCAACCCCTGTTCTCATCCCAACACCCGTCTACAGGAAACGGAGAGAATTGAGAACGGCTGATTAGCATGGAAGCCTAAGCACAGATCACGATTAACCTCATATGGAAAGTGCTACCATTTTGGAAACAGAAGTGGCCGATTGTTTCCTATATGCACACGGGTACCCATAAAGACTCAACCACGGGAAGTGTTACCATTTTGTTAAGGAAGTGGAGCCACAAGGCCCACTTCCCCACCAGTGGCACTTACCCCTTGCCCTGGACTTTCCTTCCTTCCACTGTCCTCCCCAGACCACAGTTACCCAGATCTTGGAAAGGCACCAGGACGTAGTGGACAGGCTCCATGGGGCGGCCCCGTCGCTGTTCCACGATGTGGCAAGCCTGGATTTTGGCAGCATTGATCTCCTCACCCATACTGCCCGTGGTGTCCAGGACAAAGCTCAGGCTGGAGGCTGGGCTGATGTCCAGCAGCCTGGGGGGCAGGCCGAAGACACAGGGAAGAGTCTGCACATTTGTCCCCAACCTCCGTTTACTCAGCTCCCCCAGGAGCACATGCCCATTAGGGAGTGCATCTCGCAGAGGCCACTCACCGGGAGAAACCCCTGTCTCCCAGGCGGTTTCGCAGGAGACTGAAGGCTGGATGGAGGCCGGAAGGGCCAGTTTTGCTGCCTGGAGGTGTAGCATGTGGTGGGGAGAGAAGCCCGGGGATGTGCTATCCTTGTTGATGCCGCCCCGTGGTGGCTGGGAGCTCCTCCAGTCAAAACAGCCCCCATGGCTACATTTCTCTGGGTTGGTGGAAGAGATCTGGGCAAGCCACCGCCTCCTAAGAGAACTAGGCCCTCTTTGACCTGGCCTGACCTCTCAGTCTTCAGCAAAGGACCAGCAGGAAAGATGACGGTTTGTGGAGGGCAAACTGGAGTGAATCCTGAGGGGTCAGTGATCACAGTACACGGTGCATCCCCTGATCCCTCCAGTCAACCCCCAGAAGCTGCCACTGGGTAACGGAGAAGTCTCAACGGCTGAGTAAGAAGCTCTCCACCCTCAGCAGCAATCATGGCCTCCTCTGCTGGCCATTCCCAACGTCCTCGACTTCTTCCAGGAAGTGATGCCATAGGAAGTGGGACAAGGGCCTACAGTTCTGAAATCCCTAGGGAGAGGGCCAGGGGAAAGGAAGGGCCTTTCTCCCCTTACTTCTGCCTGGTACCTGGAGGTTTGGAGGGATGAGCTCCAAGGTGGCCAGACGTGAGGAGTGTAAAGCCCAGCAAATTCCCAGGGCAGCGCAACTCCTCACAATCAGAGCAGGTAGGATCGCCTACTGGGAAGAGAGGACAGGGGTCTAGAGCCCAAGATTCTGCCACCACTGACCTTTATCCCCATCCACTCAAACTTTGGCTTTCTCGCAGCTGACCAAAGCCCATATGTACTCTTCTAGGCTTTCTGAACAAAAACCTGGAGATCGTCTGGTGATGAGACAGTATTTGAGACAGGGCCTGTGCTAGGAAACCCGGAAGCGTGGGGAGCAGTACTGCAGGGACTGAGCCCTCTGTGAGCTGTGGACATGAAGCCAACTTGTAGTGGACAGGAGGCAGCTTCCGGTCATAGTGCACGTGGAAGGAGGAGGGGACTATGAGGGAGAGCCCTGAATGCTTCACGCCATGTTGGGCGAGGAAGCCACATGAAAGAGAACTCAGTGGAGGTCTGCAGACCTTGGTCCTGGCTGTGTCCTCCCCGGGTGACCTTGGGGAAACTACCTAAGTGACCTGGCCTTTGGCTGGGGGACCTCACAGGTCATTCCAGAGAAGATGGATTGTCACATCCTATGTGGCCTGAGGATGTGACACAGTGGCTGGGTAGGCTGCCAGGATGAGTCTCTATGGGATTCCCCCAGCTCCAGGGTCATGGCCGTACCTCGTGCCAGGCTCCCGAGCTCCTGCGACGGCCAGAGGAGCTGAGGGTATGGCTGCTGCCGCCCCAGGTCCACCCAGTTGCTGTGACTGTCGAAATCCTAGGGGGGAGAGGGCAGAAGGGAACTGTCACCACAATCTCCAGCCCTTACTCCCACTCCTTGGAGGTCCCCATCTGGAAAGCCTCCTCTTACCCCAAGTGCCCCCCACGGGCTCTGCCTGTTGCCCAGGACGGGGCTTGCCCCCCGTGGGAGTCTTCCAGTGTTTCCTCGCATCTCACTCAGAGCCCAAAGGCCCACCTCAGACCTCCCGCCTCCCTCTTCTCTCCAGCCGCAACGGCCTCCTGCTCTTCCCACCGGACCTAGGGACCTAGGGACCAGCCTCAGGGCTTTGGCAAGCAGCCCCCACCCCTTCTTGAGCAGGGGGAGGTGTGGTCAAGGAGGCACCGTGAGGAAGCTTCTATCTGGGCGATGGGAAGACCCTGAGTGAAGCCCCCCGCCCCCATGACCATTTCAGGCTGTTCTCACCTGCAAAGCATGAAGCGCGGCGCTGAGGCACTGACGGGCCAGGGTGTGCTCCAGGGCTCTGGCCGCCCCCATAGCCCCCCGGAGAGCCCCCGCCAGTTGCATGAGCCCCTGGTCCAGCCGCTCGGCATCGAAGTGCAGGTCAGGGTCGTTCCTGGATGTTGGCAGGAAGTCCTGGGCTGCGTTGGCCCGAGACACCTCACCTAAGGCTGCTCGGAGCGGCTGAGAAGGAAACCCAGGTCCCGAGTAGGCAGCAAAGGGGCACCTGGGTGGCTCAGTCGTTAAGTGTCTGCCTTCAGCTCAGGTCATGATCCCAGGGTCCTGGGATGGAGTCCCGCATCGGGCTCCCTGCTCAACAGGAAGCCTGCTTCTCCCTCTCCCTCTCCCCCTGCTTGTCTTCCCTCTCTTGCTGTGTCTCTCTCTGTCAAATATATATATAAAATCTTTAAAAAAAAAAAAAAAGTAGTAGGCAGCAGAGGTCGTTGGTGAGGAGGGTGCAGCCCTGGAGAGAGTGGGTTCGGGGACAGGGCCCCTGGGATTGGACCACTGCCCACATTTTCTCAGCAGCCATTACTCAGGTCAGGTGTGCAGGGAATTGAGAGTGCTGGGCCCTATGAGGGCGGGGCAATTCTGGACCTTTCTAAGGAGTGGGGGCTCTTGATTTCAGGACCAGGACTCTTGGGTATTGTCAGGCGGTAGAGTTGGGGGGAGGTTCGGAAGAGAGGATGTCCCTTCTCTTGGCAAGCAGGGCCCTCAGGGAGTAGAAGTCCCAGGGAATTGGGGAATCCAGCTGGGATGTGACAGGGCCCGGGGACGCTCACCAGGAAGTCCTCAAGACGAAGTGGGGGGCTGCCCTGGGGGCTGCTGCTCCAGGAAAAGCTGCAGGGTGACACTGAGGGCCACCTCCTCCGTCAGGTGCTGGTGGGTGATGGAGCCCAGGGTGGCCAGGAGGCTCCAGATTTGGGGGAAGAAAGAAGCTGCGGGGGGCATGGCTGGGACACGGACCTGGGGGACAGAAGGCACTGAAGAGCAGGGAGCAGCTGCGAGTCCTGGGCAGGTCCAACTGTTTTTTCTCCCTGGGCACCTGCTTTTACCTCAGGCACCCGACAGGTCCCCAGCTGGTTTCCCCACCCTCTCTCCTCAGTCGCCCAGATTACCTGAGGGCCTTATCAGGCTAATAGGGCCAGGCACCTGCAGGAGAGGGGCTGAGGCTCCTCCCCTAGAATGCCCCTCCCCGCCCCCAGGCTGACACCCCTCCCACACCCCCACGCACAGAGTCTGAGTCCCCTCTCTAGGCCTGTCCCCTACCTGGATGCTGGGTCTCCAGCAGGGCCGCTAGGGCGTGGCATCACAGGGCACTTAGGTCAGAGTTACACTTAACCTAAGCGGGACCCAGCGGAGGGGGAGGGAGGCCTGGAGGGGGCGGCAGTCCGGGCAGTCCCTGGCCCCTCTCCTCATGCCCGCACAAGACCACAAGCAGCAGCCGGCACCGGGGCGGGCCTCCCTCAGCCGCAGGGCACAGGTGAGTGGAGAGCTCGCGGGAGGAAGGGAGTGAGCACCGTGACTCAGGCCTGGCTCAGGGCCAGGGCCAGACCCAGACAGACGCACCCCTCTGCCCACCCGGTGCCTCTGGCCTGGCCGGCAGCCCTCACACTGCTCATGCCCGCTGTGTCCGAGGGTGCAGGCACCCAGGCCCTCAGCGCCCCACCCCAGCCCCAGCACGCACACACAACAGCTGGTTTTGTGGCAAAATATTTTATTGCTGCCACCCCATGGTGGACACTGGGGGTTATGAGGACTGGAGTCGGGTGTATCACAGCATCTTCTGGAACAGCGCGATGGCCTCATCCACCTTCCTGAGCTCTGCTTCTGTCTGTTGGAGCTGGGGGTGGAGCAAGGGAGAGGGGGCGGTGGGTGGTGAGGACCCAGGCCCAAGAGGAGACAAATGCCAGGAGCGGGGGCACAGCCCATGCCCACGATGGCAGAGGGGTCCGAGTTGGAAAGATGGCTGAGGACCACAGGCAGGGAGTACTCTGGGGACTGTGTGAGCCTGGCCGGCCCGCTCCCCCCCTAATTCTCACCGGCCTCCCCAGCAGCACCCACCTTCTCTTCCAGCATCCCTGACCTCCCAGGTCTTGCCTTCTGCTAGAGTGGTCAGGCCCCCAAAAAACAAAGGGGCCTCAGAGCCAGCAGCCCTGCCCCTGGGTGGACGGTAGGGCACAGGGGTTAGGGACAGAGGCTCCTACGCAGGCACTGGGCCCTCATTTGTAAAATGGCAACGGTAATACCCCGGGCCCTGCGCGGACTTCCGGGAGAACGGATGGAGACAGCCCCACTCAGCGGCCAAGGCTCCGTAACTCAGCCTCTGCTCATTTCTGTGTGCATCCATGCGGTTCACCCCACTGCTCCTCCCTGGAGATCCCAGGTGAGCCCGCCGGGCTTCCTGACTGTAGGTGGTCCCCAGTCCAGCTCCAGGCATGTGGGATGCCAAGTTCCAGGCACCGGGGCAGGCACAAGGGCTCTGCCTGGGAGGCAGGATACCTGGTTCTAGGTCTGCCTCCGTCCTCACCTTGTGTGACCCGGGGCTATGCCCCTGCTCCCAGCTTTTCCTCGTGTAAGAGGACAGATTACACGGACCCCACCTGTTCAAGGGGCCCAGGCTACCTGCTCCCCCGTGACTGCCCAGGGCTGGGCGGCGCGCAGCTGTGGGAACGAGCGCACGGGGAGGGATACGGAGGGATACGGAGAAGGAGCGCCCGCCCACCCCGCACACCTTGGCTCTGTCTGCCTCCTGGACGTCGAGGGGCACCTTGCTAGGGTAGCCCGCGGCAGCACGGCGCTCCCGCAGACGCTGGGCCTGGCGCTGTGCCTCGCTGCGCTTGGCCTGCAGCTTGCCCAGCTCCCGCGCAGGGTCCACCAGCCCCTGCAGCTGCAGGTGGACGGAGCAGCGGTCAGAGGCCAGGGCCACGGCACAGCCCTGCGGCACAGGGGCCCCCAGGGCCAGGACGGCCACCACACCCGCACTGGCCAGCGTCTGCACGTAGCCCGACACCACTGACCCCAGAGCACCTGTGGCCTCGTCAGCCACCTCCAGGAAACCTGCGGGGCAGGGAGGGAAGAGAGATGTGGCCCCAAGGAGACATGACACGAGGCACCACGCCGGACGATGGTCCCAGAGTGGACCCGGGTGGGGGTGGGGGCCTGAGGCTCACAGTCAGGCCGGATCCGGGTGAGGTTGTAGTCCGCCCGCAGGGAGCGCACAGCTCGCGTGATGCTTAGGGCCAGGTCCATGGCAGCTTCCGCCTCAGGGTCCTTCCAGGAGCACTGCGGGGGGAGGAGGGGGTGAGGGCGGCTGAGCGGCAGGCCAGAGCCCCCCTTCCAGCCATACCCCATACCTCTGAGGGCTCCGGATAGGGAGTAACACAGAGGCTAGGGGGAGCTTGCAGTGTCCGCCGGGGCAGCCTCTGGAACAGCTCCTCAGTCACGAAGGGCATGAAGGGTGACAGCAGCCGCAGGCCAACGTCCAGGCAGGTGTAGAGGGTCTGGCGAGCACACTCGGCCGCCACTTGGTCTACCCCATTCAGCACGGGCTTCAGGCACTCCTAGGGGACCGGGAAGCACAGGGCTCGGGTGGAAAAGGTCTGGCCTCCAGCCCTCCCTGTGCCTGGAGGACTGGGAAGGTGACAGGCTGGTCCAGGTCTCACGGCCAGCCACCGGCAAAGCGAGGCCCAGGGCTCCGCCGCCGTCCCCCGCCCCCCGCTCCTCCTCACCAGGTAGACATCACAGAGCTCGTACAGCCAGAAACTGTACTGCGCAGTGGTGGCGGCTGGGAAGTCGTAGGCCTGGAAGCCTTGGTTGCTGAGCCTCACGGCCTCAGTTAGCCGGCTGCGGATCCAGCGGTCTGCCAGGCTCTCATGGCCTCCAGGCTTGGGAAGAAGGAGTGTATCAGCCAGGGGGTCCCATACGCCCAGGGGCAGGGAGGCAGAAGCCGCAGGGGCCGGGGGGAAGGGACCACGGACAGGCCTGCATTCCAGGAGCCTGATAGGTCCGAAGCCACCATCATGTGCTCAGTATGGGGAGGAAAACGGAGAGGCCCACCCCAGTGCCCCAGGCTTTCACTGTAACTGTCTGTCCTGTGTCCATCCGACCCCTCAGTTACATGAAGGCTCCTCCAGGGCAGGAGCTGGGCCACCTGACTCCGTGGCTGGGATCCTGACAGCACGGGCCACGCCTGATGCCTGGTGGCCGGCGTGCAGCCTCTGTGTGGTGCTGCCCCCCTGGCCGCCTAGCGGGTTCTCACCTCAGAGGTCGGTGAGGGCACAAAACCCTTCCCAAGGCCCCGGAGGGCAAATTTGGTGGCGTTCCAGAGCTTGTTGCAGAAGTGGCGGTACCCCAATATCCGGTTCACGTCCAGGTTGATGTCACGACCTGGGTGGGAGCGAAGGGTGAATCCTTACCATTCTCCCTCCCAACTCGTGCCCACCGTGGGGAAGGGACTTGGCCAAGAGGTTTTGGAGGCCATACCCTGGGACGTGTAGGCACAGAGTCCAAACCGGAGGGCGTCGGTGCCACACTCGGGAATCCCCGCCGGGAAGTCTGCCTTCTGTGGGGTGGAGTCAATGGGGGAGCGCCTTGAGGCGGCCGCACCTCCCTCAGCCCATACTCTAGCCCCAGAGCCCGCTCTCGGTACCTGCCCTTCTTTAGCCTTCTCCACCTCACTGGGATCCAGGTTGCTGCTCAGTAACTGGTCATGGAGGCCCTGAGGGTGAGGGGGGAGCGGTCAGGGGGCCCATGGCCACAGCCCCACGGCCCTTCCCAGCCTGGCCCAGAGCACAGCCCCACCTGCAGGGAGACTCCGTGGATGACGTCCAGGGGGTCGATGACATTGCCTAGAGACTTGCTCATCTTTCGGCCGTGGGCATCTCGCACGATGGCGTGGAGGTAGACCTGGCAGGGAAGGCCCACGACCATGGGTCTCCTCACCCAGACCCCAGTGCCTGCCCCGGGCCCTGCACCGAGTCAGCCCCATACCGAACCTCCGACCCCTCGGTGTCCCTGTCAGTCCACTCAGCACCTTCATGGGAATTAGAGGTACTCCCTCCTCTGGGAAGCCAGGGAGCAGAATCATTGTGTGCAGCCCTGGCTGGCTTTCAGTCCCCATGAGCCCTCCCTGGCCGGGCTGTGGCCTGTGTCCCCATGCATGCTGAGCCCGAGCTGTGGCATGGGAGCGGGGTGAGGGAGGGACTGTGGGACGGGTCTTGGCAGTCTTCACACCTCTTTGAAGGGCAGCTTGCCAGTGAGCTTCAGGCCAAGCATGACCATCCTGGCCACCCAGAAGAAGAGAATGTCATGGCCCGTCTCCAGCAGCGTCCCCGGGTAGAACACACTCAGATCTTCTGACTGGGGGTGGAGCAGGGCATAAGGGGGGGCCAAGCACCCACCTCCCAGGTCCCCACCCGACCCTGAACCGGTCCCTCAGGGACATACCTGGTTGGGCCAGCCGAAGATGGAGAAGGGAAAGAGACCAGAAGAAAACCAGGTGTCCAGGACATCCTCGTCTGAGGGAGGCCAGAGGTCAGAGGTCAGAGGAGGGAGAGATGAGGATCAGAGCCCCGGCTCTGCCCTCCACTCCCCAGGCCCTGCCTTGCCTTGCTGGAGACTGATCTTGTCAGGGGACACTCCAAATTCCTTGGCCGCCTTCTCCCGGGCCTCGGCCTCGCTGCGCCCGCTCACCCAGTACCGCCCATCCGGGTCCTGCAGGTACAGTGAGTGCCGAGGGGGCGTCTCGGCCTCGCCACACCCCCTCCCGCCAGCGAGGACCCAAGGAAACCACAGCTCCTGGAGATGGGCCAGTGTCCAACTCCGGCCCAGGTCTCACCTGCCCTGGGGGCACGGCGGGGTCACTGACTGTGACGAAGTAGGCTGGGATGCGGTGGCCCCACCACAGCTGCCGGGAGATGCACCAGTCCCTGCAAGGGGGGCCGGGGGGG